GTCGGAGGGACGAGGGAGCCTGGCGGAGCTTGTGGACTGCCGGGCCACGGCGGGGAGGAGGGAGCTAGGAGCCATGGTGGAGCCGACAGGTCAACGGGCCGAGGCGAAGTCCGGGGCTTAGAGGCTGGAGGGATATTCCAGCCGCGGCGACACTGGAGGATGGCAGTCCCGCAGAGCTCACACCGTGCTGATGGTGGGCTGAGGGCGAGCAGAGGAGCTGCCAGACGACAGCGGTGGAGGAGGCAGGAGACGAGAGCCTTCCTCGGACGACGGCGCTCTGTATGCCGGGTTTAGACTGGCGTCATAGAATGCACAGAGTGCATCGTCCGGGTAGCTGGAGAGGTTGGCGAGGACCAGGAACAGTCTGGTGTGGCCCTCGAGCGATCTTTCCCCCTGCTCCAGGAGGAGGAGGAGGTACTCAGGATGGGCGAGGGAATCCATTGGGAAACACTACGGAAACAAAACATTGAGCAAAAAACGGAAACAAAAACGGAGGGAACACACGGAGGTAACTGTTTCGGTCTGGTATTCTGTCACAATGTGCCTACTGTGAAGGAATGAGAAGACGTGGAGTAAACTTCAAACTAACAGACTTTAATAAACATCCAAGGAACCAGGAAAACACACGTAGCGGGGAAAGACGAACATTCAATACCAAAGAAAGAAACATGGAAAGACACAGAGCTTAAGTAATGGGACTAATTACGGGAATAACGAGAAACACCTGGAACTAATGAGGGAACACCTGAAATCAAGGAACACAATGAGACATGGGAAAAACACACAGAATGAGTCCAGGGGCGTGACATGTGGTTCCTATGGGCAAAGATGGCAAAATCTAATTCACATACTTTCGATAGCTTTCTCCAGCTATTTCAGATCTCCTTGGACACTGCAGTTTTGCAGTAATTAGAAACACCTACTATATAGAAACCTACAGAACAGAAAACTCCTGCAATTTAGCCATATTCAGTGTGAATGTACCTTGACATGTTACCCAGCAACAACTGAACTTTTACACTGAAAAAAAATTCAGAGGGTCTTACTTATACCCACTGTATAAAGAAAACAGAAAATGTCTTTAAAGGTCTCTGGATCAGCACAGTTTCAATGTCTTAATCTTTCTTGTGCCATGTCTTTCTTCAACTGAAATGCCCAAAAGGCATTTTAAAGGAAAAAGAGAGAGAAAACATAATTACAGAAAAATTACAGGAACTAATTAGATCAGACAGGAAACTATGGATGGCTCTACAACCACAAGAGAAGATTCCAACCCTTAAGACTGTATGTAGTAAAAAAAAAAAAAACCTCTTTAATTCAGACCTCACATATGTTGAGCCAAGGGCTCTTTACCTCAATTTACTGGAGAGGAGAAAACTGGGCCATATTAAATTCAGCTAATTAGTGTGAGCAGTAATAGGGAAAGTATATCTGGTGGCTAAGTTCTTGCTCCCTTAAATTACCTTTTTTTTGTCCTGAGTTAAAGTCAAACAAATTCTCTCCCAGGTCACTGTGCAACAGACAATATCAGTATTTATTATGACTTAAGTCTGATGACTCCCAATCCCTCTGCACTGTATATTATTTAGTAAGAACATTTCAAATAAAATACAATCCAAAGCAAAGCGGGCAGAATAAAGATTGCATACATCTAGGGCTGTATGCGCTAGCCAAGCATCTAGCATTGAGATGAATGGGAATACTAATGGATAACTGTCTCCAGATATGGAGATGGATGGATGGATGGACTTTCAATTTGACGGCTTA